AGGAATCGTAGAGTCGAGTCCGAATTCCAGTCGAATCCATTACATTCACTTGCGTGCTAATACCCTTGGGAAAGGTATGAATCCTCTTCTTCTCCCCCCAGCTATGGGTAAATAGCAGGACAGACCTGGTTCTATAGCCTTTGATGGCAACTAGTCTACCGCAATAAAAAAATGGCAACCTACTGCGGGAAAAAATTTGCCTCGACAGTCATGTATCGAAAGATACATGATCACCTAAGCGTGTATCGCGCATGGCACATAACTGACTAAGTGAGTTTCGTTTTGGAGGTGTTAAATGTAACAAGCCATTTCTTGCCCCATTTAACAACAGAATGTTAGCACTAAACGAAAGAACGCCATTGTAAGACAGCACAAACAGAGATGCTTGATAGGCTATTTTTAAAAACATGTTCACGAATGAAGGCGACAGATGGATAGGAAATTGTGTAAACCTTTCGATAGACAGCAATTTTTGCAGGACATTTGTGTGTTTGTAGGTGTAAGTAACAGTGAAATTCAGTGAATTACATTTTAACCCGCTGAAAATGTGCCAGCAATCATTTTAAAATATATTATCTCGCCGTTGAATCTGAACAAGACAGAATGATTTAGTGATCTGTATTTTATCCGGTCACTACCTTCCGGAGTTTTTGAAATATCACGAGCTGACGAAGTTTATCGCTACGTGGTAAATTATTACGTGTTTATTCTTATGTAAATGACACATTCAACAAGGCGGATAGTGAAAGATACCTTCCAAAACCTAAGTAAAGTATTAAAATCAGAAACATTTCGTTAGAAACAAAGAAAAGAGTACTGAAATGTTATGTAATATCGGTCCTCCTATTTGACAATAAACATTTCATCACTGTTTGAATTACCTGTTCTACGGATCTATACCTGCGATCTTTAGTTTCGAAACCGAAACGTATAGAACAGTAATATTTAAAAAGATATTTTTATCCGTCAGTATTTTTCATTGTGTCTGGGAGTTACGGTGGAATAATGGTTAGCAGCTTGGATTGAGGAATCGGTAGAGCCGAGTTCGAATTCCAGTTGAATATATTGCATTCACTTACGTGCGAATATCCTTGGGAAAGGTATGAATCCTCTTCAATCTATGGGTAAATAGCAGGACAGATCGAGTTCTATAGACTTGGATGGCAACTGGTCGACTGCAGAAAGAAATGGCAACCTACAGAGGGGGAAAAAATCTGCCTCGTCAGTGATGCTTCGAAAGATACGTCATCGCCTAAGCGTGTATCACGCATGTCACATAACTGACTGAACTTTTATTGGTATAAACGTTTTTTAGTGGTTACATGTGTTTGAGTAGATGTTCCCTGTCATATTTTTTTAACTTTCTCTAACAGGGAAATTAATAACAACCGGCCTATATTAAGAAATCTTATTAAAGAAAAATTGTGCCTCTGGCAGGAATTGAACTTGAATCCCTTTTTTCCTATTTTTTTTTTTTTGCCAATGCGTGCCGCGACTTGTAGATGTCACACGGCAAATGTGCTTCCCTTAAATAGGTAATAAATACTGGTCATGAGAGAGAGAGAGAGAGAGAGAGAGAGAGAGAGAGAAAGAAAGAAAGAAAGAAAGAGAGAGAAGAGAGAGAGAAAGAAAGAAAGAAAGAAAGAAAGAAAGAAAGAAAGAAAGAAAGAGAGAGAGAGAGAGAGAGAGAGAGACGCGCCTTTCGCCGGTGAGTGGTAAAGCACACCGAGTCAAAGCCTTCAAATGATGGCGCAGATTCGATCGCTGCCGGCAGAGCACATTTCCTTTATTAGGATTTCTCGAATACGTAGACCGACAGGCGTAATATACATTGTTTAAAGTAAAAAAAAAAAAAAAAAAAAATAGGGCGTCTATTTCAAATACGAATATCCACTAAAAATGGTGTTTGAAGTAATACAAATGTCGGATTAAAAACTAAAATTTAGAAATTGTTTTGTTTACGTTTTGGGTACAAAACTGAGTTTTCCCAAAAAAAAAAAAACATGTGAGCAAGTGTGCTTTTCTTAAAAGGGAAAATAGAGTCTGGCTGAGCTGTGCTTTAGTAGCTGACCTGTGAATTTGATTTGATTTTAATTTCATTAATATATATATATAAAGAATTGCACTAAACGGTGGACTTCCTAGATATGACGATAAACTATATCCGGTAACAAGGCCTCTTTCTGGAAGGTTTTGAGGGTTGTACAACCACTTCTTAATTGCTGTTGTCTTTATTCATAAAAAACAATTAAAAGCTTTTAAAACTAAACAATGTCCTTATGCTATTGGATTTTATAGTATCTTATAATTCAGAGCTGATTTTCGGTAACACTTGAGTTCGATTTTTCTTTTTTAAAGGTCTGATTTTAATTAGTCAAAGACTCTCTTAATTTCCGAAATCGCTACTAGGTGACGCTTTCCGGACTATAAATACTCAGAGATATTTTTTCGCTCTTCTCTCACCTTATCCGTGGCCTTGTGCCACATCCTGCCTCGCGGGGAGGTAAGGTAAATAACCTTATCCGCTTATTCGTCAACATGTAGCCTCTCGCGGAGAACGCATTCCCTTTAGGAAACGCATGAACAACACACATATAGAATCACATGCGTACGCACATTCACTCACTGCACATACTTTGAACCATTAGGTTTTCACATTCATTTGACACACACGCACATCTTTGTCTTTGTCACTTGTAACCCTTTATTATTAATATATTATCAATTGTTTGAACATATATATTAGTTCTTGTCGTTTCTTTACATTTCTTTACGTGAACTCATATCCCGAATCTGCCATGTTTGTTGTGGGTATTTCAGGAGACACACGTGTTTATCTCTTAATGCATATACCGTCCTGCAACAAACTAATATAATCACTACAATGCTCAGCGTTGAATTTCAAGAATTTTCATAAAATTAGTTATGGGTGAGGGTAACAGATGTAAAAAAATATTTTTACCACGACTTTCAAGAGAAAAACATATTTTAAATATTTTCAATCATTTGTAAATAGTTTCCTAACGTTTCATTAAAATCCAACATTTTTTTTTTATTTTTGCAAGATTTTCCAAATTAATGTCTTTCACTGCAAAAATGCGCTAAAATTTGCTATGTTATTTAGTACTTCCGTTGACGCAAAGAGAAACAAGATTACTTAATCAAAAGTTAGAATGGTCTAAAAAAAGATGGAAAAATTTAGTAAAATAAATAAAATACTCTGCTCTTTCCTCTTAATAATTGTTTTCATCAAGTTTAAGGCTTTTATTTTTATTTTTTAGCGAAATCGTGAAGTTGTTTAACATCCGACAATTTATTGGTTTTTGCAAGAATTTTCAGTGTTTTTCGTCGCAAAAAAATGCTAAAATTTCTTATACTAATCTTTACCCCGAAGCAAAAAAAACAAAAATAAAACAATATTTTTAACCAAAAAATTGAACATTCTAAAAAAAGGATGAAAAAAATATCCTGTGGTCTTTTAAAGATCTTGAGGATAAAACTTTATTTTTTTATTAAGTTTGGGGCATTTTTTTTCATCATGATTTTATAAATCAGTGGAGGTACAATGTCAAAAACGGTGAAATTAATAAATGGATTGGTCTTAACTTCGGAGCTGGTGAAAAATTTTCCTAAATGAACATATTCTTTAGTTCTTACAAATCTGCGAGTAATGGCGGAGCGAGATGACACCGCTCCCACAATGCAACACTAGTTCTCAACCAGTGTGCATATGGACTCGGAGTTCCATTGGGGGTTCACACACAATAAAAATAGTAAATTGGGGGGGTCCCCCAGTAATATTTTAGTGGTCCATAGAGCAATTTCACTTCAGAACGATTGTTAAAACTGAGAATTGGAATTTCTAAAGTAATTTTTAAGCCATATTAAAATAGAAAAACAACTCTCTAGTAAAAAAAGTTAAAAAAACTATCAGAAAACAAGATCAAGCGATGTAAGTCAGTGTCACTTGCACACTCTACCGGATGTTTTGATTGTGAAACTTGAATGAAAACTGCAAAGGATATATAAAGGAATAATTATAAAAGAAAATTATAAAGATTATAATTTATTATGTAAAGTTACTTTACATAAATTACTTTACTAAAGTAATTTATAAATTATTTAAATATTAATAGAATAAATAAAATATAAAATAATAGACACGACATTGTGAAAAAAAGTGTGATCTTCGACTATCATTGACATCGAATGTAAAAAATAAACTCGCAGAATATCATCAACCACAAGGATCTCATTCAATAAATCTGCATTATTTTTTTTTTTAAATAATTAGACATAAAAAATGGTTTACTAGTGTTCTACATAAAATGTTCCGTAGTGTTAAGTACAAATTACAACAGGTTTATTTTTATTAAATTATTTTGTACTTAAAAATAAAGCATATTTACTATTGCTACAATTTATAAACTTATTTGTAAAAAAATAAAATAAGCTTTTTTTTCATCGAATAGTTATGATGAGGGTTCACCAAAAAAAAAAAAAAAAATTAAGAGTAAAAATGGGCTATGGATAAAAAAAAGAAAAAAAGAAAGTTGAAACCACTGATTTATACTGTTCAAACAACACCATAATATATGCAACTCAAAGCATATCAAGAGGAAGACTGTCAGAGGGACTTGAAAGACAATCCATGGTCGGGTGAACATAAATTGAGTAAATAACTCTTTTTACACCGGTGCTAGAAGACAGTGTTCGAGTCCTGATAGAATCTAAGATTTTGAATGCAGATTTTCAAAGTATGAAGACACTATTCAAGTTGAAAATTTGGCGTAGCACAGTCTTCGTACAGTAATTTTGGCTTTGGTTACCATAATTTTAGCTGGGTAGGGTAAAAGTTGACAAATTAAATAAGAAAATTGGCAGCTGCTAAAGGGGGATAATTCTTGCCCGTGTTTTCAATACGAGTTACGGGCCTTGGAATTGTTTATTTCTCATTTCCAATTCCTTGCGCAGCTCATCTCGAAGACGAAAGTAACGATATGGATTCTGCTGTTGAAACGTATGTTTTATTTTTGACAAAATAATCCTTAAGATCTCTAAACTGTCTGATGAGTGAAATTTTATTTACCCGAATCTCAAAGTCATTTATCTACTTTTTGAAATATCGGTTTACGTGCCTGATTTTAACTAAAAATTGTATTTTTTATTCATTCAACAACTGAAAAAAAGTCAGTATCCTTGTTGAAACTTTTTTATTGGTGCGTTTTTTATTTTTTTATTGTTTTGTCTTTAAACTTTTAAAAGTTTATAATTGTTAAGTAATCGGTTTAATGTATTTTATTTTAACGCGATATTATTTTTTTAAATTTTTTTTATGTAATTTAAACGTTTCAGTTTTAAAAACTTTCAAAAAGAAATGTAGCATTTAAAAGTGGAAGTGAAAGAATTTGTTTTCTCCTAAAAAGTGTGAGATTCATTTAAATAAAAATATGTACTTCTAAAAATAGGGCATATATTTTTTTGTTGTTCGATTTCCAATAAATGAATCGTTACTAATTTTTGTTTAACTGTAAAAAAAAAAAAAAAACAACATTCAATTCGTAAAAAAAAAAAAAAAATCCTGTTTAGTTTATTTCATTTTTTTTTGTGTGTGTGTGTAAAAGGTTTTTAAAATTGACATGAATTTTTAAAAATCGGGATTTGGCTAATTTTGTCTCTTTTTACTATTAGCAAGACCCCCCCCCACCACCACCTCGAAAAAGAAGATAAAAAGAAAATGCCCCTGAAAGCGACAAAAATCAATTAGTACTCTGCTTGTTGAAGAATCTGACACTTGAAGTTAACACGACGGAGAGGGTGGTAAACTTTAGACTAGAGTGACAAAAAAAAACCCCCGGCAATAAGTCATTTAGTGACATAAACGGACACATTCTGAAAAGACATGGTTATTTTAAAGTTTATTTTTATGTCAAAAGAAAAAAAATGCATTCTGAACGTCCATCACTATGACTAAATTTTTTAGTGGGTACCACATTCAGTAGTAGACATTCTTGCTCTCTTTCTTTTTTTTTTAAACAGTGAAATTAAATCTAGAAATCAAAAGTCCAACAGCTTAAACTAAAGAATTTAGGTTAGAGATGTCTGGCTAGGCAGTTTTTAAAAGTGTGGAATCCCATAAGTACGTGGGAAGTGGTAAAAACACTGATCGGCTCTCTCTTTAGTGGGTCAAACTTTTTTTTTTTTTTTTAAGGGTCAATTGCCATGTAAATTTGTCAGTGATGCCGTCGTTTGCTAATGATCAACCACCTATCTCAAGCAAGATAGAATCATATTGGCGGACTGAGTTGCGCTACACGCACACACACACTACCGTTGTTTCCATCACAAATTATTCGCATTGAAAAATAATTGTTCCGTTTTTGCTTTGTTTTTTTAAATTGTTTTTATTTATTAGCAGGAATCTTCAGGTATATCCACTAGGTTGCGTAAAAAACAGCATAGCATAATGAAAAAAGGCCCCAAAGTTAATAAAAACGGAATTTTGTCATCAAAATGTTTGTTATTAAGAGGAAAGACCAAAGTGGAGTTACCTAAACAGGCTTTCGTTATTGCTAACTAAAAATCAAAATTAAAATACGTTCCTTTTTTTTATATCAGATACAAACAAGTATATTTTGGGAACTATCTTTAAGTGAATAAGATATATATATATATATATATATATTCGAAAATTAATTATAACATGTTAAAATCATTACAAAGCCATTTTGTTTCAACACGTTTGTAGTGATTTATGTTATAATTTGCGAATAAATTATATTTACTCTGCATTGAGCACTCTTTTAAGATTGGTATTTATTCTGTATATGCCAATCCTATACTTTGTGTGTGTGTATATATATATATATATATATATATATAAAATGATGTATCAAAAATATGTTTACAAACTTTGGGGGAGGGTTCCTCACATCAAAACAAGGACAAAAGTCCATATAAATATGCCTGCAGATCCTTCCTTTCTGAGTTAAGTTTAAAGAAAGTTTATGGTAGCTGGCACTGTGATGCCATGTAGACTAGGTTACATTTGTCATTTGTGTACATTTGTGGCTAGTTTGTCTTCAGTATTTAACATGTGTAGCAGTAAGTTAACTCAGAAATGTTCCATTTAACAATGGCAGAATAATCATATTGTGAGCAGGCAGATATGATTTTTACATACAGCTGTGCAAATAGCGATGAACACAAGACAGTATGGCTGTATCTGATTGTGTTTCCAGACTGAAGGCAGCCGAATCATACCACTTTTGCTACTGTTTATCTTTGTGTTGCTAAGACAGGATCCATGGTACCACAAAATATGGATCAACGCCTGCCATAAACTTTAAACTTAATAACTCAAAAAATGAAAGATTTTTGGACATATGTTTATATGGATTTTTGTCCTTTTGGTGTGAGAAACCTGTAAAAGTTTGTAAAAACAATTTTGATACACTCTGTCTGTATGTATATCTGTAAAACAGAAGATGTCAGCCAGTGTGTGCTATTTATCCATGTCCACATTTCTTGACCTATTTTGATGAACTTGTACACGCATGTTGCAAATTACCAATCTTCAGGCCCTTGGATTTGGCACAAAAATTGATAAAACTGAAGGTAGGTACAAATTTTTGCCATACCAAGGCAAAGTTACACACAAACAAAATTTTTACTAGATGAGTTGATGTTCTTTGCACTTAATGTAAAATATAGCTCATGTTACAAGGTTTATGTATAGTGTTTGATAGTTTTCCTGCGACATTGGCTTCATACAAAAAATTGAAAGAATCTAGCTTTTCATACTACTTAAAATAAAAACTTGAATAACTTCCTCATTTTGTATCTGATTTTCTTCAAAGATATTGCAAAAAAATTGCCATCACGCAAGAAATAAGATAGTGTGGTTTTAGTCCTGCTTGTTTCCCTGATTATAATGAAAAACCATGAAAAAACTGTTAAAAAACCCAGTTTTTCAGCCATAACTCCCTGGTTTTTCATTTGATGCTTTCCAAATTTGACATGTAAATTACATATGACATGCAAATTGTCTTGCATGAATGTTTGGTTTAGATTACTTCAGTTAAGTGGATGAAATCTGCGACAAACTAGGTCCAAAATTGACTTTTGCCATTTAGCCAATAGTTTCTTCCTATGATTCCATCCTAAATTGGCATTTGAACAACCTTTGATGATGCAAAGATTGTTTGAGAATGATTATTGAAGTGCTAAAAGGGGAAAAAATTCCTGAAGAACCTCTTATTAATTCCAGCTTTACAGTAAATGTTCAAAGAGGTGTGTGGGGTGGGGGGCATTCATGCATTTGCAGTTGAAGTCGAATCAATCTCTGATACTTCATCGCTGTTTTTTTTTATTATTAGGTTTGTGAACAATGCCATACTACTTGAAAGTTACTGCAGCCATAGGAAATTTACTGAATATCTAAAACATTGAAACAATTTAACCTCGAGTAACGACCACACAAGAAGGTTTTAATGATGGAATTCCTTTATTAAGAAAAATCAAAGACTTATGAAGGACATACTGTAAATAATATGAGGCAGGCGGGTAGCTTAGTATACCAATGGATGATGCATGCAAACGGGGATACAGGAAGATATTTCTAGATGGGTGTGCAGTTATACAATTGCAGTCATGTACACCTGGGAAATGCCCGGTACCTCACCTAGTATATATATATATATATATATATATATATATATATGAAAGAGAGAGAGAGACACACACACACACATGTAAGAAAAAAGTAGCAGTATGACATTTTTTAATAGTGCGCTTAAAACATTTGACTGTTAAAATCTGTGAAGTCAATAGTTTTTTTTTTATTTTAAATGTTTATCAAAAAGGACTTTTTATGTTGAGTCAGTCACCTACCATCATACTAAATGATTTGTTTAAAAAAAGAAGATAAATAAGGAGGGTAAATTCCTTTAGTCTATAAGCCAATAGTTTTACAGATATCAGTGAAGGTCATCACAGAAACTTTGAGTCTGCTTATCAATGCTAAGTACCTATTTGACCTTTACAAATGCTGTTTAGGTCATACCACTTAGCATAGGTACCTCCACGAAATCGCTAAAAAAAGAGCATAGCTTGATGAAAAAGACGCCAACCTTGCCGAAAAAACAAAATTTTATTGTCTAAATGCTTATGTTATTATTAAGAGGAAAGACCAAAGTTTTTTTAATTATTTTAAAAAAATTTCCTTCTTTTAGAACATTCTAAATTTTGATTAAAAAAACTTTTTCTATTTGTATCAGCGGAACTAGTAAATAACATAGACAATTTTTAGCACGTTTTTTTTGGTATGACACACATTAATTTGAAAAATCGTGCAAAAAATAGAAATAATTATCGGATGTTAATGAAACTTTCAGGAACTATTCACAGATTATCGAAATTATTATAAATGTTTTTTTTATGAAAGTCATGGTAGAAATATTTTTTAAAATATTTATTACCCCCCCATAACTAATTTTATGAAAATGCTAGAAATTGATCGCATCGGTTTTAGTGATTACAATAATTAAAAGCACAGGGCTTTGAGGAATGCAAATCATGTTTTTTTTTTTTTAATTGGATACACAGTACCTGAAAATCAGCTCTGAATTGTAACATACAAAACTCAATAAAACAAAGATACTATTTAATTTCAAATGCTTTTAGTTGCTTTTAGTTGTTTTTTATGAATATGGACAATATTTTCTGAAAGCAAAAAATTTTTTTCGATGAAAAAATGAATTTTTAATACAATTATTTGTTATTTCATTAATTATAATACATTTTACATTTAAGTTGTTAAAAAATATTATAAAATTAGTTAAAAGTCAAGCATCGGCTTTCATAAGTGTCCTTATGAGATAGATCTTTTTTTTAGCAGCGTTGTAAATTGTATCATTTTGACTAATCAGAAGATACCCAGTAATTAAGAAATGTAATTTTGTGCTTATAATCGAGCTGTAATTATAAAATACGGAAGACCAACCAGAATATAATTAAGTT